GATTTATGCCCAACTTTTTTTGAATTCCAGTAATAAAAACTTACGTGGAACCTTGCATTAAATTTTCAAACTTTTTGACTGAGCAAAAAATGTTTTATCGAAATGTCTATACGAAATATCTCCATATCAGTCAACATTATATAGGTATTATACAAATACCATGTAGGTATAGAATATATTCTTATTATAACTTATAAACAATCAAAATATATTAATTAATAAGATAAATAATAATCCAACAGTTAAATACAGATATAATAATGATCTTACTCTTAGGTTTGATAATATTAAAGCTAACCATACAAAATAGTAGAAAATTTATTTTTGATGTGTTTTGACTCAACGAATAATTTCTTTTTAATATTTACAAAAAAAAATATTTAAAATTTCGAGTGTCTATTAACAGCTCAAAAGTGTAAAAATATTTTGAAAATTATAGGAAATGATATATACAATAACAGATACAAATGCATGTAATAACTATCTGCGATTATTCGTTTTTGAATTTCAACATCGATGAGAAAATCGTTCCATGTGAAATCAAGTGAATATCAAATATCGTAAAAGTTTAAAATTTCGTAATTTTGATTAATTTTTCAAAATTCTAACCTCAGACGCTCATAAACAATGATTGTGGATATACGCTCGCCTTTTTTAATTTCCACTATAACAATAACATATGAGGCGCCTCGTATTGAAATAGTTAACCTATTTTTAACTGAGCGAACAATTTTTTTTATTGACATTATAAACAATCAAAAATCGTTTATGCTTTTAAATAGTTCAACATATAAGTCAAAATGTTTTGAATATTTTATGGTGTATAAAAAATGTTAATATAAATATTTTATTAACACTAAGAGTTATACCAAAAATCAAAATATATTGTCAAAAATCAATTTTCTCTTAATGTTTTTTCCTCCCCGGTGTTTTTGAAAACAACTAAGAATCTTAAATTTAAACCTCTTATATAATGCACCAACTCGATTCATTTTCCCAGTTTCCCACCAGAAAAGATATTGAAGTAAAAAATCGAAGCATTATTTCGACTAATTAAATTAAAAATAAAATAAAACGCATCATTACAAAACCCGGCATAAATTCATCGCTAGTTATTTTGTATTATTACTTTATTAGTTATATTAGTTTATTACTATTATTATTTATTCTACCTACTTACGGTACTGTTATATATTTAATAAAAAAGTTTAAATTAATTTAATTTAATACTTATTTACTTATTATTTCATTGGTTTTTAACACATTTGATCTTTAACCCTAATAATATACCTATATATACCTTTAGACGTTTGATGTAATTCTAACGAGTTTATTTTTAATTATGTTAAAGAATTCCTTGATGACGAAACATAACATAAGTTTAAGTATCCGATTTGTTATTGGAATAACTCAAGAATTGGAATCAAACGGCAAAGCAAATTTTAAACAAAAATTAAAAAGCGATTCCGATAACATCGTCGATTATAAAAGTTTTACGTTGAATAAAGAACAGCGAAAGTATGAACAAATAAAATATGACGTGCAGACGAAAATCTGTAGAAAAAATCAAATTGAACATTATTTTGACGTTGTAGACCGACAGTTACAGTTTGTCATGAAGAAAAAAATGTTTGTACATTTCATTACAATAAAATTAATTAATTCATTTAAATTATTATAACAATTAACCTAACTTGCATAAAATAATGTTTTAGTTAAATAAATACTTAAATATGGTTTGCCAGTTCAAAAAAGTCATGAAGGAGATACTACGTATGACCAGCCCCCCTCCCGTAATTACTTCACTAAGCAATGAGCATGCTTATACATACTTGCAAATAACGATATAATGTTTTGTACAAATTGACTCAAATAGATCTACCCAAGTTTTCCCCCCCATTTATTAATTATTATAGACAAGAACGTAGCCATGGGGGATTTGGTCATACGTATCTTCACCATGACTTTCTTTTGTACTGGCAAACCATATTACCATATTAGAGTATTTATTTAACTATATAGAAGCCACATGGACCCCCACCCCCCAAATAACGAAATAAAATCCTAGCTAMGTCCCTGCCTATAGTTACTTGTTATACTACATATAGATACTAAAGTTTAAACTTTAAATTAATTAAATAATATCACCAACAATTTACTTATTACCTACTGAAAAATATATAGGTATCCTAATCTAAATACTCTCTTGTCTGATATCCAATTTTTATTTGTTATATAATTATATTGATACCTATAATCACCATAATATTAATTTTTCAGAATGAAATCGGAAGCCATTATTGTTGCAGCAATGAAAGAACACGAAAATAAAATTGTGAATTTACAATTAGATGCAAAACATTTGTTAATAAAAATTGAGTCAAACGCAAAAGATAACGAAATTAAGAAAAATAGCCGTATGCAAATCAGGTAAATGTATTGGGGTACAAATCTATACCTTTCATTTTAAAATATTGTTTATAAAAGTTTTTGAGTGGGTTTATCATTATTTTCGAATGAAGTTCTATTAATTAGGCACTAGCAACAATGTCAAGATCAACATATATTATTTGGAAAAATAGTGTACTTACCTACTTAAATAGTATAATATTTACTTAATTATTTTTAGTTAGATATTTAAATCGAATATGAAAATGTATTTTAATATATTAGGAACGATTTAAAAATCAGAAAAGCTCTAATAGTGCATACGTACGATTCCGAGATGATGGCAAAATACAATAACGTGAATGGATTTAATTCAAAAATAAAAACAATTGAAGATACCATTTACAAATTGCAAGTGAGTATAATTTCTCTATAGGTAGGTTTAGATACTACAGAGTACCTGCTACGTACATAACGCATTATTGATTTTTATTATGAATGCAATATAAGAAAGCAATTGATAACTTAATGATTACTACTAATAAAATAATATTCTAATATTCTACAACAATACAACACAATTAATTATTACTATTTATGTTGGTACATAATTTTCTAGATTGATCAGCATAAACTAGAGTCAATAACTTAATGATTAATGATTTTACTGGTATTAGATTATTTTTTGTTTTATTTGAGTTATATTTCTGTTCTAGTAGGTAGTAGGTACTCATTAGTCATTATAGTTACCTATTAATGCTTGATACCTTGATTTTAATGACTTAGAGCTTTTAAATAATTTTAAAATTTATTAAATTATACTGTTGATGTAGAAGAGTGTATACCTATACGGCTATACTAGTATATCACTATATCAGTCATACTAAAACAATTTAATAAGTAGTTCTGCATTTGTAATGGATATGTCTGAGGCAAAAAGAGTTTCCCTGTAATACTTGATAACGAACACAGAATAAATTACTAAAACGATCAGTGTTAGTTTGGTTTGTTTATCAAATACAAATGCATAAGTTACTATCAGAAGAATGCAGCAATGCAATTAACCTAGCTAAATTTAGCAAAGACTGTGATAACTGATGATTAGTTTAGAACTAGTTTTTTATTTTTAGGAATCCATTTCACGTCAAATTCAATTTTACAATAATGTGGTACTCGAAAAGGAAGAGGAAAATGATCGAATTTGGCATGCAAAATTACATGAAATACAACGCAAGATAGCAGCTCGAAAAATACAAATGCATTTCAGAAGATACTTAAATTACATTAAAACTCGCGATATTAAGAAAAACAAAAAAGGCCAGCACAAAAAAAATCAACCGAAAACAAAAAACAATGTATTATAATTTTATAATTTTTTTAATAACATTTCTAGAGAAAAAATCAAGTTTCAAAGTGGGTATTTAAATTTCTCAATTATGTTTGCATAGTCACAAGAAACATTTTTAATTTAACATTTTATAATAATTTTAATAATTCATAATATACATTGCATATTTTATTTATGTTACAAAGAGTGAAAGTCCTACAGCTCAAAAATCTGTCTTATGTTAGCTGGAGCAGGAGATCTATTTTAGGTTAATAAAAAGTATAATATTTAAATAATTAAGCTAAAAAAAATTATATAAGCAATTAATAACAATAATAATATTTTATAATTATATAGGCTAGCTTCGCTAGTTTAAGTTTTTTTTATACATAATAAATAATAATTAATAATACTTAAGATTAATTAGATTTTAATAAGCAATAATACGGCTCAACACTAATGCCTTTAATTTAAACTAATAATTAAAGTCATTGAACAACATTAATAACAAATAATAATTAAATTAGAATATTAGTGTACCTAATTACAATAAAATAAAATTATATATTATACGTATATTATATTTATGAAGGGGTTATTTTTTAAATAAAATGAACACAATTTATATTAAAATATTAAATTCTTTTAATAGTGAATTGAAGTCGAATCAAATTTAAAGATTTGACAAAATGGCGGTAGCGACTACACACTTGGGCAATGTTAGCGAACAATTGGTTAAAATGAAGGAGAGTTATTATGAGAGAAAGTTGAAAATCAAAGAAATTGAAATTGAAAAAAAACAAAAATATTATTCTGAAAGGTTGGTTATGCAAAGCAAACTGGTAAAAAGCTTAATTTATTGACTATGTATTTTATTTTAATAGTTAATAGTCAATTTAACATTGCAATTTTTTTTTATTTTGTAAACAGCATTATACAAGTATGTTAGTTATACAGGGTGATTTTTTAATCATGAACCACTCATTATTTCAAAAAGTATTTAAAGTTTAGATTGGCAGAGTGGAGTGGTACGGGGTTACCCCGCAAAATGTCCACTACTCCGCTTGTCTAAACTTTAAATACTTATAACTCATAAACTACTCGTCCTAAATTCGATTTTTATGAATCAAAATACTTAGAAAAATATTCTGCTTTGGAATATGAAATTAAAACTTTATGTTGTCATTAAAAAAGTAAAAAACTTAAAAAATTATAAGGATAAAAAATATTAAAAAATATATTTTTTTATAAAAACGTTGTTTTTTTAACAACATGAAACTTTGTAAAAAAATATTTTCAAAAACATTGATACTTTTTGAAATAATGAGTGGTTCATGATAAAAAAATCGCCCTGTAGTTATAGTAGTTACTGTACACTGCAGTAAAAATAAAATAATAAATAAATACTTTWTTTTTKMTTCTTKCTTCTATYCTATTATACCTACCTACCTAAAATTAAGAAGAAATAAAACAAAATATTTTAAAATATGATTAATATGTTAATATCTTGTGAAATATTTTGGATTATTGTTTCTGCATGTCTTGACCAGCAACTAACAAGGAAACTAACAAACAGCTGAAAAAAATGTTAAAAATCATTTAACTGCTTACGTAAAATAACATTTTATAAATCCATAATTTTCCAAATAATTAATTTATATATGCCCAAAAGAATAAATTAAATAATAAATTATAATAAATAAACTATAAAAATAGTTTTACGACTTTTAACACTACAAGTCGTGATTAAGAAAAAACAAATAACTAATCTAATATGCTATTAGATTATTAAATGAGCAACCTAATATAGTAATCAAATAATTAGTTTACTTATTCGATTACTAATCACTAGATTGAATTTAAAAACACTATTTTGTATACTTAATCGAATAGATGATTGAAAATGGGTGTATTAGATCACTAATATGATTCGATTAAGTTCAAAAATAGACCTTCAGCACCTAAAACATTTTTATATCCTTGATATAAAAAAAATGCTTAAATATAAAAATAATAATTTAAATATAAACAAATTTATTTACATAGTTGTATCATGTTATAATAGATTGTTATTTATAATCTAAGGACTTTTCTCTTGTGATAATTCTATCAGTTGTATAGAAGGAATATACTTTTTTTGTGAACTTATCTAATAGAATCTTCATAAAATCTGTAGAAAAAAACAATTGTTACAAATATAAGTTAAAATTGTATACTATGATATTTGCAATTTTTCAATATACTTACTAAATAATAAAAACAAGCCGCCAATAGTCGATGCTATTTCAATAATTAAATGAAACAAGGTAATTCTATTTTCTGTGATGATGAATTTGAGAGCATTAATATCATATTGAAAATATATACCAGGCATACCGTGACTCCCTAAAATATAAATATTAATTAATTAAAGAAAAAATGGATGTATGAGTAGATTAAGAGATATAACATACAGAAATGTTTACCAATATATGAGTAAACCGAGGTATTTGTGATTATGGTGGCTGACGATATTTTCAGTCATAGTTATTTTTGCCCTTTGTTATTTTATTTATTTTATTTTAACTTTTTTTTAAAAACTCCTGAACTAATTATTAATACCTACATTTTTATAAAATAAATATTGTATGATATGCAAAAATTCAAAAATGTTGAAAGAATATAAAAATATAAAAATTGTAAAACACAAAAAATGTATAAATTGTAAATTATTTTTATCATTTTCACCTTAATATGAAAACATTTTAATTGGATTATAAGCAAATTATTGTTATCGCTATTATTCTAAGTGTAGAAAAATAAGCATCTCCAAACAAATCTTGGTCTTAGTTTTATACTTAGTACTTACCAGTATTATGATCAATTTTTCTTTGTATATCTTTTGCTGAATACTGGTAAGTTTTTATTTCATTTGAATGTGATTTAACATCTGTAGCTATTACATCTATGAAATATTTAAAGGATACAGCATCTATATCAAATACAATTATAAATTAATAAATGTGAAAAAAATCATATCAATGTAAAACAATCTTTATTTTTTACTTTCATTTGTTTCATACAGTTCTCCTTCTAATGGATACATAATCCCTTTTGTCGGAACACCAAATGAAAATTGATTAATTCGATGAGAAAAGTTAGTAGCCCCTGATCCAAAAAATGGACCAGTAAGATGCACATGACCACCTGGAACTATAAGAGATTTCCCAGGAGTTATATGAAAATTTCCTATCACCTTATTTAGAATTAATGACCCGTGTATGCGACACGCATCTGGTATAGTGTTTGGTTTTTCTGTTCTGAAAAATTAAAAAAACAAATTATTTTGAATTTGCCTCAAAAGTCCTAATTACATAAATAATACCGGGTGATTCTTTTATCATTGAACACTCATTATTTCAAAAAATACTAATGTTTTTGAAAATATTTTTTTACATAGTTTCAAGTTGTTAAAAATCCAACGTTTTTATTAAAGAATTATATTTTTAAATATTTTTTATCCTTATGATTTTTCAAGTTTTTTACTTTTTTTAATTACAACATAGAATTTTAATTTCATATTCGGATATTCCAAAGCAGAATAGTTTCCTAAGTATTTTGATTCATAAAAATTGAATTTAGGACGAGTAGTTTATGAGTTATAAGTATTTAAAGTTTAGATTGGCAGAGTGGAGTGGTACGGCGTTACCCCGCAAAATGTTTGTCCACTATTCCGCTTGTCTAAAATTTAAATACTTATAACTCATAAACTACTCGTCCTTAATTCGAATTTTATGAATCAAAATACTTGGAAAAATATTCTTCTTTGGAATATGAAATTAAAACTCTATGTTGTCATTCAAAAAAGTAAAAAAACTTGAAAAATTATAAGGATAAAAAATATAATTTTTTAATAAAAACGTTGGTTTTTTAACAACTTGAAACTATGTAAAAAAATATTTTCAAAAACATAAGTAATTTTTGAAATAATGAGTGTTCAATGATAAAAGAATCACCCGGTATATAATGAAGAATAATTTAAAAATTAAATTTCAACATTTTTACTTTTTAAATTACTTCTTTATTTTTTAAAAGTTAATAAATTTAATGGTTCATTAAAATTTAACTATGGWCCATTTTATGATATACTAAATTAAGTTAAGAGGACATCGCATTAAAATATATACTCAAAAAATTTCCTTTAAAAACATGTTTGCGTGTTCAAAGAATATGGGTTACTGAGTGGTTTTATTGTAAAAAACATCTATGAACAAAATTGAAAAGGAGATTAAAATCTGGTTTCGTAAGAAGCCCAATTTCTGATTTTTAAGTTGCAGTCCTAAAAATAACTCTTGATAAAGGTAAAAATCAGGCATGACTTAACATGAAATATTATACGAAATTTTACAGATATCAAAAATCAGGCTTCTTACGGAACCAGATATGAATCTCMTCTACGACTTTGTCCATAGGTGTTTTTACAATAAAACCACTCAGTAACCCATATTCTTTGTATGCGTAAATAATGTTTTATAAGAAAACCATGGAAAATAACTGCCTGCCGTGAAGGCTAACAATACTATCTCTTGAGTGTTGTATATCTACACGTTTCTGTGAGACATCCTCTTAAAGGTTAAAATTAGCTCACATTCAATATATTTTTAACTTACCTAACAGAAATTTTATTTTTTAATGTATTATAATCATCAAACATCCATAATATGTCTTTCATTGAATGATATTCTTCTCTTAAATATGCATTAAATTCACGCATTTTTTCAAAATGTTGTTGCTGTTCTTTTGTCATTTCCCACCAAGTATCGTCAGTTTTCAATTCTCCAAATAACATCATATTTTGTCCCGTTGTATCAACAATATCAGCACCTATACCTAAAAAAAWTATAGAAATATAACTAAAAACCCTTTTGTATTTTAAAAACTACAAAAATCTTACTGTCACAAGGTGATGCAACTGTAATATCTATGTTTATTGGAAGTTTAGATTCATAGTCTGTATCTGGTTCAAATCTGTATATATAATGTTCTTGTAGAAAAAATTGTACTTCAGAAATTAATAACCATAATCCAAATATAGAAATTAAAACTGTCACTGAAAATCATAATAATATAACTAGTTTTTAAACTATTCAATAATTATAGATTGTTTAGTTCTATTGCAAACCAGAACTTAAAAGTATATAATATTAGTTAAATGATAATACTTAATATTTAATTTGCGTGATATACATAAAATACTTAACATAAATGCACTGCATTTTTTAATAGTGAAGATAAGAAAATGTTTTGTTTTAACTACTCTACTAATAAAGCAAATTTAGCAAATTAATTATTTTTATGATGATCTTACGTATAATATTACTATAAGTAGATGGTTCATAAATTTCTTCTTGGACCTTAGGAAATGAATCCAATTCTTTTACAATGTTAAGTGCTAGTTTTTTCCCTCTGTATCTCAACATTTTAATTATCTACAATAAAATGATATTCATTATTTTATATAATATCATATAATACCTTTATCTAAATAGTTATTTAAAATAATTTAATATTAAAATAAAATTGAATGTGTTGTGACTATTTTAACAGTTTATGACAGAAAATAATCATTTCATGGAAACAAATAACATCAATCAATTATTTTGTTATAATAGTTTAATACATACAAATTTTAAATAAAAACAATTTAAAACTGTACGAATCCACTATTCCTTTATTAATATGACGTGTACACTTACTCACAATTTTATTTAAATACTATTACTTAATTCCTATGAGTTAGATGTCTGAATAGTGAATGTGCTTTATTTCATGAAACAAATGGAACAATAGGCAAATATACAACAAGAGTAAAATAGTTGATCTTTACAAAAGCTTAGGAAACGTCAATATAATATTAGCAACATTTTAAGTAAATACTTCGTAAGTACAATCGATAAAATTACAAATTAACAATAAGCAAATAATTGGAATAAAACAAATAAATATTATTACGTATATTTACATTGTAAAAGTTAATATTGAACTCGAATAATAGAGACTGTTATTTTTGTTATCGTCGTCAACGTGTTATCATTAATCAACAGAATTGTTGCGACGCTCGCACGTCATAGCCATAGAGTAATATAATATAATATAATAATATGGTCATAGCCTAAACAAAATCATGATAACATATCAATACGATAAATATTATTTTGTTTTATCGTTTGATTTTTGTCATAGGGTAATATTACTGATATTACTAATATTATTAATTTTATTATTAGTAATAAAATTACTCTATGAGTTTGTCTTATTTAATTACATCATATGCTATATAGAATCTATATTTTAAAAAATCGGGACTTTTTTGTCTCGCTGGCTTGTAAGACGGGACTTGGGGCAAAAATTTAAATAACGTATAAAATCGTGACATCGCGTCCCGCTAAAAATTGAAGCGGGACGCAGGACAAACATATTAAAAATCGGGACTTATCAGTTATCTTACTATAGATAACTACCTATATAGTGTAAAAATTAAAAATTTGGAACTCTCTGCCGTACAGTAGGTATAGCTGTCGATTTTACGTCATTAATAAGGTAACTGCATACCACATACTTATAGCATTTTCAACCTTACCGCACTATTGCACCAAGGTGGTACTRGTACAGTTCACTGCCTCGCTGGTAATTGTCCTAGTGCGGGATATATATATATACTCTATGGTGTAGATGAGACATAAAATCTATATTATTTTTTTTTATAATTATCTCTGATATATAAAGGTGATWATATATTTAATGGGTATTGTGATACTTATCTTTGCAGTGGGCGCAAAAAACTGACGAAGTGCATTGAGCCATTGAGGTGAAACATAAAAAAGTCCACTCAGTGCACATTAATCTCGCCGATGGAATATAAAAATATGCACTGGTGCAGTCATTGCAGTGTGTAGGAAAACGCAATAAGGCTTATAGCCAAATTTATTGACGATACTAACATTTTACTTAAAATCAACTTTGCTAAGTAAATACTTTTCACTAATTCACAAGTGGTATTTATAAACACTAAGTCTTTTCTCGTCCAAGATTTTTTTAAGAATATTTTACGTGAAAATACATCTTATCACAGATAGAAAAATATACTTAATTTAACACAAATTGGTGTTAAATTAACTAAGGTGGCATGCAGATTTTCACTTACTTGAAGCTTGATGTTAATTTAATATAAGACATATAGTAAAAAATAAGTTCTTTTAAAGGTAGTAATTTTTAATTATTTTGGAGTTAATTCAACATCTATAACTGTTTTACCATTACATCAATTATAGATTATTTTAATATTCCACTGATTGTCAAAATAACAAGTAATATAAAAATTTAAGAATATTTTTATTGTGTTCAAACCATCTACATTAATTACCTAAGACCTAAGAAATATCTTACCTACATTCCGACGTGTTATACCATTAGACTACCTATCATGATTATAGATCATATAAAAAATATATTATTTAGACAAGTTATGAACAATGGATTGTATTTAATTACCTGTATGATTATAATTTATATCATCATATATTCATTTTTCTACTTTGACAGTGATGTATATACTAGTCTCCAGAGTTATTGGACTCTCCAAAGTCATGTACCTACTATATATAATATATATTGTGTATTTCATCAGCTCATTGAAGCCTCAAATGCATTCCGGATTTATATTATTATTAAAATAACTATAGGTAATTTTATTACTTTAAAATAATGTCATTAAAAACTTAATATTCTATAAAAAATTAGAATAAATCAACAATAATTGTACTATTGTAGACTAGTTAATTCATTAATAGATTAATGATGCAAGGTCAAGGTTTTGGTGTTAAAAATAGTGTGTAATCTGTTTTTCTTATAATTAATATTTCTCTTATTAAAACATGATTAAAGGGTACCTTGGATTTTTCTTAAGTTCTACTTAAGTTTATCTTAAAGTTATTCAAAGTGACATTTATAAATACCAAAACATAAGTTTTATTTCAGTAAAAATATATATTATATATATATATATATATTTCTTAATAAAATATTGTAAATATAATTTATAAACACCAATCACTGTCTTAGTTAAAATTATACAAAGATTTTTCTAAGTATCGTCTATGAATTTCACAAATTAGATTATTAAGGTTTAAGACTATATTATATCTTTTGAATTGGATGTGTTAAATTTAAATAATACAATTCACCCATACAATGAAAAATGTTTCTGAGCCAATATGGTTAGTTAGTCTATATTTCTAAGGATATTTAGTTAAACATGTATAGGTTGATTTTACTATTTATTTATGGTAACTTGATGGGTTGATAAAATGTTTGGCAAGAAAATATCGCAAAATATATCTAATAGTTATTATTATATTATTAAAATTTATATTATACTTACTATTTACTAGCTGTTATTTTAACTTGCAACATTGACTTACACAGTAATATGGTAATTATACAATATAACTATGGAAATAGGTTTGTGATACTGATATAAATAGCTTAAAATAAATCTAAATATTTTGAAAACATCATTGTGTATAGTGAAAAATAATAATATATGTAATAAMATAAACTTTTGAATCCATACAAGTACTAACAACTTACGAATAGGTAACATTTTTTAATAATAAATTAAAAACTAAATAATCAGAACCGTTATTTTTTGTTTAAATGTTTAATTTTGCCAAAATTTGAACTTAAAAGTTAAAACATCTAAAAAAAATAGATTGTGCAGAAGTAGTAGGTATTTTTGAGATTTAAAGATTTCTGTAAGAACAATTTATGAGGATATGTTTGATTAAATTCACAATAAAAAAATAACTTATGAGGACCCTTGTATTCAATTTCAAAGTATTTTGACTGAGATTATTTATTTATATATTTTTTTAAGGCTAATTAGACACAAATATATCAAATGACTTTAAATATTATAGAATTTATTAGTCTAAATATTTTTAAAATTCTTTTTGAGCATAGAAAATGTTTATTGAATACGTGAAATGTTTCAATCTTCTAGGATAAATATTTTTAAAATTATAACAAAGATGTTAATTAATTTTATTTTGATTGATAGTTAATTTGTCACACACCATTTTATAATTAACAATTAACAAATTGTTTAACTTATGATGGAATTTCTAATGAAGAAATTCTTCATGTATATTATAATGATTCATAAAATCTTTCATTTTTGTTCTCTTTCATAGGTATCAATATTTGTATGTAAGGTATGTTCATATTATACTGTACATCACACTCGTTTATTGATAATCATATTTTAAATATAAAACATAAAAACCACACACTTGTAATATCAATACATTTATCACTCCATTCAAAGTCTAAAATATGTCAAACCTATCAATTTTAAATTTTAAATACCTAGATATGTACTTACAACGTTACAACATATTTCTTTTGAAAATGTGTAAGATCCTTGCATTGCGTTAGCCGGCAGCAACAAAGTTATTTGTATACTGAATCTCTTTGACAATAATTAATAAAGCTGAGCATTTGGTTTTCATCAAAATTTATAAAAAAATGTAAGCTATAATTATTGTAGATTTAGCTGGCCAAAAATAATAATAATTTTAGACTGGTAAAAAATTAAATATAACACAATTTCCTTGGTAATTTATGTAATGTTATATTATTTATTAAAATAAATTATAATTCATTGTTAAAAAAATTTATTTTATTCTATAAATAAAAATTAGAATGGGTGATATATGCAAAAATGATATGAAAGTGGATTTAAGAGACGAAACGATTGAGAACACTTTAAATGATCTAAGATTTCAAATATCAGTATTAAAACAACAAAATATCAATATCAAAATGAAATTGGACGAAGATGTATGTTTTGATTAAAAACTGTAATATTATATACATAATTATATTTTTGTAAGTTATAGATAAATAAAGGTTGTGCAATGACAAAGTTGTTACAAAAAAGGGTATGATTACATTTTTCCAAACAAGTCCTATTTTTTTAATGGCACATTATTATAAATGTGTATATTAATTATTATGTTTTTACTTTTTATAGAAGCCATTTAGACAAACAAAAACTGGCGAAGTAATATTTCCCGGGAAAAAAGAAATGGTAGGTATTAAATACATTTATTTTATAGGATGGTTCTACATTACAAACTAAAATATAGGTATAATACGTGATTATTTATTTTTCATCAACAAGGATTTTAAACTAGATGTAATGACAAGAGAAATTTTGAAGTTAAGAACGGTTTTAAATGGCTTGAAAAAAAACCGCAATCAGCTAAATTTAGCTAGAAACAATAAAACCAATTCTAACTGTTCTGTATGTGTAGATTTAGTCATGCATCTAATTCAAATATTAATACCTATTGATGTTCAAAAGTTAGAGCCGGTTATTTTTTTTTCTAGGAGTCTAATAATGAAGACAATAACATAAATAAAAAGTTGAGCGAAGAACTATGTAAACAATATAACACAATGAAAGACACATTTGAGTAACTACCTATATTTTATTTACCTAAATCTATTCTCATTAATAAAATGTCATAATCAATCAAAAAATAACTTATGAACGTTTTTTTTTTATTTGCTTAAAGCAATGTTGTATTAGAAATATCAAAGTACCGGGTACGAACAGACCTTAAAACAGAAGAAATGGAAATCAATAATGCAAAATTGATAAAAACACAAGAAGAATTTTACAATGCAGTCACAACATTAGCACAGATAGAATCGGCAAGTTAAATAGTTCGATTATCGTCATAACACTAGACATATTAATATTTTTATTAACTTCAGAACACTTATGACGATGTGGAGATTGTACGAAAAGAATTTAATGATGTCAAAGACCGCTTAGATGGTTTGAAATTGGAGGCTGAACATCAAATTGACGAGTTAAACGCTATAAACGAATCGGTTTGAGTTTTAAATAATTTAAACCAAATTAATAAAATCTTGTGTTACTAATATTGTTTCTTAGTACATGAACGGTCTTCAAGAAAAAGAGTATCAAATAATTCGATCCAATAACTTGTACAAAGAAAAGGAAAAGCTCACAGCAGAATTCGAATCTGAATTCAATCGGCATAAAGTGAGTTGTATTTTATAGTTTGAACCTATTAATTATTATACATTTTGAATTTGTTCTCACTAAATAATTTATCAGCCTTTAGGTTTTGATTTTTCAATGAATATTTTTTTAAAATTCTGAATAATACTTTACACCTAATTTGTTACAGGAATATTTTAAAAAAAGGGTAAGTCAAGTAGAATTTTTGCCTGCTGCATTACAGGCAGTTCAAAAACAGATGATCTTCGAAAAAGAATTAAGAACATCAGTGGAACGAAATGTTGAAATTCTCAGTAAAAAGCTAAAAACAACTGTAATGCAACCTTTATTATTAATTTAAATCAAATTATTAGTGTTTACTTAATAATATATTGTTTATATAATATAGATAAATGATTCTTGTAATAACTCTCTTGACACAAATCAATCATTGAAGTCTAAAGCTCAACATCTGAAGTATGTAAATACAAAGCAAATTATAACTTTATTATCTATAGGTAGTCTATGTGTCTACTTATCCCACCTACACTCACTCAGATATATGTTATAAAATATTGTTTTATAGACCTCCTATCACCATCGACTTCATCTAAAGTGAAATTAGAATTCTTTGTTTGTTTTAAGATTATTTATAGTAACATTGCTTGTTAAGATTACTGATCCAAAAAGAAAGAATGAATGAAATTATTTTAATGCCTAAAATTATAATTTATTACTATAATATGTTATATACCTAATAATATAGATAAATAAATAATTATATAAATTATTTATATAATTATTTGTTTCATTGGTGTACAGAATCAAACAAATGGAATTGGAAACTATTTTAGCAGAAAAACTACGTTGTTGTGATGAAATAAAAACATATAAGTATCAACAAAAATCTGTACTAGACAAGATAAAATCCGAAACAAAGTTAAAAATAAATGATTTACGTCGTGTTTTAAAAGCACCAGCTGAGGAATACTTAAATACCATCAATAAACTTCAAAATCAGATATCAAAGATCGAGGCATATTCTTGTTTTGAAAACGAACAATTAACACATGTAATTACTAATTACTATTACCCACATTGTCGACAAATTCTGAATGTGTATTGAGTATAACTAAGATTTATTATTAATTATTATTGTTATAGATGTCTTCGATCATGCAAAAACCAATCGAAGCATTAGCTAGTATTTTAAAAGAAGCAAAAGAACAAATCACTGTAATAGGAAATATACAGAATGTACTTACTGACACCAAAAAAATATGTTCGTAACATTTCGGATTAAAATTAAGTTTGGTTAAAGCCAAAACAAAAAAGGAAGCGTAGGTAACTTCTTTCAACTACTGTCAATATCAGTTATATAGTTTTTTTCTTTACAGGATTTTATTTTCGTAAATAAATTAAAAATATCTTCTATTTAAATAAAGAGTAAACTCCCAGTTGCTGGATTGATTTTAAAATGTTGTTTTTATACATTTTTTTTTATTATTATTGTACATGTACAGGTACAGTATACACGATAAATAAAGTCAAAATAATGCTTCAATTTTCAACTTCAGTATTTTTTTCAGTATGAAAACGAGTCTGTTGATAGATTCAGGAGTTCAACATTTAAAATTCCGAATAGATTACTAAAGCGCAAAAAAAAAAAATTAAATTAGAAAAAACGGGAATTTTTTGAAAAGTTAGTTTTCGAAAAAATGGTTTATGTAGTAACCCTAAAATTAATAACCGTAGTACAGGTAAATTTATCTGAATGTAGAATGTAGAACTTTCTATACATCATAAATATTTAAATATTCAGAATAGGTATGTTGAGTTGTTAACGGACATTTTCAGTGTTCAATGTTTTTAGATTTTTTCCAATAAAATTTTGTTCATAGGGTCAAAAATCTTGAAAAATGGTTTTTAAAATGGAAAAAAAAAACAATAATATAAGAACATTTAAAAGAGGACATTAAAACCTTATTAAGTTATTAACATATAATCAGTTATAATTACATTTAAAAATTATATAACAATAAAATCCAAATCACAATATATAGGTATTATAATACAGTACCTATAGAAAATATTAATGTTGAAAAATCATTRAGTTTTAAATAAAAAATAAATATTTTATTACATTTTAGTTCATTATTTTCGCCAATTTGAACCTAAAATATTTTGTTTTACCCGATTATTTTAAAAAGTAATGAGAATTTTCAAATGCGGCTTCTTAAAAAAACAAACTAGATCCAATTTTATACAAGAAATCAAGTACTCAACACGTTGGAAATTCAGTACTTTTAATAAACGAAAAATAGTGTGGGAAAGTGTTTATTGTAATATAAATTCCCGGTTTTCCACGTACCTATTTGTATTTTAATACAATGTAATAAACTATAATATATATTACAATTTAAACAGTATTTGGTAACCACAATCCTTGGTTGGTTCTATATGTTGATTATTATGAATCTATAGATATAAATAAAACGCTATTCTAGCATTTGTTGTCTTCGTCTTACAAAGTGCTTAACATAGCAAATGTACGTTCAGCAGATCATGTTTTATCCTCTTTAGTATAAAAATTAGAGTAAACCGACCTATTATGAAATTTTAGGTTAAGAACATTATCTGTGTTTAATACGGATTTTTTTGAGATAGTTTGAATTTTAGCAAGTTTTGAGTGTATAATATAGCGTAAATTAAATATGCTCATAACTCATTTTAAAACTGAATTATCGTAACGTTATACAGTCTTAATATAGAAATTATAATATACTAGCCAATGCATAATAGGTACTAATTAAAGTATTAATTCAGTTGACTCTGTATAATAATAATATATACGAATTTGAAACAATTAAATTAAGTAATATGATACATACCATGTATGTTGATACGTCCATAATCCATATATACCTTGTAACATAGACTGAAAAGTCGTTTCTACTTATATCGTGATATAACATTGAATTAAAATTTAACATTTAACACATCCGTTACAATGACAAACTAAACGGCTACTGACTACTGTACAACAGTACAAACACAACCACAGCACTACATCAGTGCGGTACCAATACTTGCTCATTTTATTTTTTGCTTACGCAAATATTCAAATACTAATGTGGTGCAATACACCGGGGAGCGATATTATAGATATTTTGGTTTATTTTTAACGTTTTTAAATTATTATGGGCCCCACATTTTTTGTTGTAGCCGGGCCCTGAGAGTTCAAGGCCTGATACTGCATCGTCCCTAATTAAACAACACCAAAAAAGGTACCTACATGTTAATACGACATATGTATATGATGATGACTGGATGAGTAATTTAAGAATAGTTAGTTTTAACTTTCAATTTAACTCACTTAAATTTTTTTTTAAATGTTACTTACCTACCTTATGTTATTTAAATTCGTTTATAGTTAATTTTAACTAACTTTTTATGATAAGTTACTTAAATTATACCTAGTTTGAAAATACTTAACTTACCTTAAGAGTTTAAGACTTATAAATGCCATTGATCGAAAATACCTACCTTTTTTAGATTCTGAACGAAGTGATGAATGTATTGATTTTACAATGATGTGTGTTTTAGATTCTGAGCGCGCGGAGCGATGAATGTATTGATTTTACCATTATGTGTGTTTTTATT